CTGCAGTTCACCAGGAGGTAGTTCTAAGCAAATGTTAATTTTCTGAAGCTCTTTAAGAAAGTGCAGCTATGTAAATTGTGTTTCTTTTGCTCTCCAAAGTTAGATAACATTTAAAAAGACATATTGTTTAAAAAACATATTGTTTGCCCTCCAAATGTAATTACATATCTAATTTAACTTTCCACATAGATTTTCTAGAACACTAGAAGAAATAACATTTCTTAACACACACTTACATATGCACACAATTCATTTTAATAAATAGCCAGCGTAATTCTCTATAAAACTGAAATTTTGGCAATATTCCAATAAAAGCCACATGTGTCCTATCTGACATATTCTTTAATGTCATGGTCATTTCCCTAAGATATAAACATAATATATATTGCAGAATGATTATTTGTTGCAGACAGCCTGTAAACCAACATATACAAATTGGAAAATCACTAGGATGAATGTGAGTGTTCAAGACAGATTGTATAGAACCATGTCTATGTTTAAATCTATATGGTTTTTATAAATCTACATTTATCTGTCTCTTTCTCTTAGAAAATAAATATCTCTGGGGATTGCTCATAAATGGCAATTTTTAAAAACTCCTCAGATGGTTCTTTTGTATAGCCAGAATTAGGACCTATATTAATAAATAATATGTTAATAAATAATATGGGTCCTAATCCTATATATAATATCATATATTATAAATTGGGATCTGTATTAAAAATCATAGAATTTTACTTGAGAATTAAATATGAAGCCTTAGACCATTGAAAATATTGTAGCCACATTTCCAGAAGATTGACTATTATAAAGGTGTAGATTTTTTTCACAAACGATTTTGTAGTTTATATAGCAATCTAATCAAAATACCATTTTTTGACAATTTGGCAAATAACAAATGATTCTAAAGTTTTTATCTAAGAGTAAATTGTTCTATTTATATATACTATTTTGAAAGAATTTCAGTAAATGTTTATACAGATACATATATGTGTATATGACAATTAGCATAATCTTCGTGTGTGTGTATATATATGTATATGACTATATAATATCTTGCAGGATACATTGAAGTCCATTAACTGATCAAATAATTATTCAATAAGTAGTGCTAGAACAACTGGCTGCTTTTAGAAGAAACATCAGATGTAGTCTCACTCTGCATGAAGAAAGTCTAAATCCCAGGCATCCCTTGACCAAGTTCTTTTTATTCTGAGAACCAATTCTGAGACTAAAAAACCAAATTTATACTTAATTGCTATTTGCAACAGGAGAAAAATAAACAACTCTAAAGTCCAATAATAATTAAATGCTTATGATAGGATATAAACCTGTAAAAATATAATACAAAAGGTTTCTTTGTAAAAAGATGACTAAGAAATAAATTGGAAAGAAAATATGATAGAGTTAATTATATTTTTCTTGAGGTTATTTTTCTTCCTGTGTGTTTTCAGTTTTCCTAATCTCCATGCATAAGCAAATATGAATTTATAATGAGACAAAACAAAACAGAAAACAAATTATACCAGCTACTATTTATTGGAGTTAATTTATTCATAAAAACTTTAAATTTCATCATGTATCATAAAATTACCTAAATAATGGTTTGATAAATTTTGCTGTATGGAAATACTTAATAGCATTGAAATGCCCTTTTACTTTAATTAGTATATTTATTTCTGCTTCATTCAAACACCTACTCTTTAAAAAAAAACCTGGAAGAGTAATTTAGAGTATAACTATAATTTAGAGTTAATTTATCATAAAAACTTTAAATTTCATCGAATATCATAAAATTACCTAAATAATGACTTGGTAAATTTGCTGTATGGAAATACTTAATAGCATTGAAATTACCTTTTACTTTAATTAATATATTTATTTCAGCTTCAGTGAAAGACCCACTCTTTAAAAAAAAATAGAAAAATAATTTAGATTTATAATTTGAAGAACAAACCTGAAAGAAAGTTTTAAAGAGGAAAAATACTGGAGAATCATTTGAATAATCAGTTTTAGTAACGGAATAATAAGAAGTGTTGGCATGGGAATAGAGAAAAAAATATATTGACAAGCATTAAAAATTCCAGAGCAATATCTATGTGAGTTTTAATATGTAAAAAGGCAAAAAGGGCTTCACTCATTACTTTTGCTGTGTTACCCAAGCTAGAATGCAGTGGTAGGATCATAGCTGGCTGCAGCCTCAAACTCCTGAGCTCAAGGGATTCTTCCGTGTCAGTCTCCCAAGTAGCTGGAACTACAGGCACACACCACCATGCCTGGCTATAGCTGGAACTACAGGCACACAGCACCATGCCTGGCTAATGCTTTTTTTTTTTTTTGATAGGGTCTCACTATGTTTCCCAGGCTAGTATGAAAGTCTTGGCCTCCCAGGATCTTCCCACCTTGGCTTCCCAAAGCACTGGGATTACAGGCATGAGCCACCATTCATGCCCACTTCACTTATTTTTCAATAGAATAAATAATGTTAATAGATAACATTGAAATATTGTGCCATCTGTCAGAAATCAATTTTCATTCTAAACCTATAGAAAATGAAAGCAAGGCTGGGCATGGTGGCTCACCCCTGTAATCCCAGCACTTTGGGAGGCCGAGGAGAGTGGTTCAAAATGTCAGGAGTTCAAGACCAGCCTGGCCAAGAAGGTGAAACCACATCTCTACTAAAAATACAAAAATTAGCCGGGCATGGTGGCAGGTGCCTGTAATCCCAGCTACTCTGGAGGCTGAGGCAGGAGAATCGGCCTGACTCCTGGGAGGCAGAGGTTGCAGTGAGCCAAGATCGCGCCACTGCACTCCGGCCTGGGGGACATAGCAAGAAAAAAAAAAATGAAAACCAAAAATATACAGAAGATTATAAAGATTCAAAAGTAAGGACAAAATAATCAAATATTAGAAAAAATGTAGGGATATTAATTCAGACAGACATGAAACCCAGGTGATTTAAAGAAAAAGATGACCATACCTGATTACTTAGGAATAAAAATCCCTTGCAGATGAAAGTTAGCATAAGGAAAGACAGAGAATCCTGGGAGATACTTAAATAAAATAAAATAATAGTTACTGTAAAAAACAACATTAAAAGTGATAGGAAAAATAAAATTAAAGTTTTAATATGGGTAAATGTTGTTTAGTTGTTTAACAGGCAATTCAAAAAAGAAGGAAAAACAAATGGATGCTAAAGAGATGAGGTTAAATATTATTATTATTTTTTTTGTTTTTTTTTTGTTTTTTTTTTTTGAGACGGAGTCTCGCTCTGTCGCCCAGGCTGGAGTGCAGTGGTGGTGATATCACCTCAGCTGCAACCTCTACCTCCGCCAGGAGGCACGCCAGTTCTCCCTGCCTCAGCCTCCCGAGGAGCTGGGACTACAGGCGCCCACCACCCGCCCTGCTGAATTTTTGTATTTTTAGTAGAGACAGGGTTTCACCATGTTATCCAGGATGGCCCCGATCTCCTGACCTCATGATCCACCCGCCTCGACCTCCCAAAGTGCTGGGATTACAGGCGTCATAAATATTCTTAATAGAAGAATATAAAAGGAAATAACAATAACTTATTCATTTCACCAATCAGATTGATATAAACTAAATTTTTATTCATATTTAATACTTTTGTGGGAATGGAGAAATTGATACCCTCATGTAATTTTCGTGGAACTGTGAAATGCTATGAATAATAACAGTTTTGGAATTTAAGAGATCAGCGTCTAATAACATTTTGACTCTGCATATAACTTTACCCTATAATGACTTTTGATAATTTTTCTACATAAATAAAAGGCCAACATATTAAATATTATCAAATATTTTAAAAATATTAATTATGATGGCAAAAATCAAGAACAGTTTCCATGGTGCTTACATAGGGAATGATTAATCAAATTATGTTTTATCTCTTATAAGAAAAAGGCAACATTTAAACAGAATGAGTAACTATGTAATGGCCTGAAAAGATGTCCATATTACATTGTTAAGTAATATAAGCAAGTTGTACATAATGTATGTGATATGATGCTTCAGTGTTTTAGATACTTTAGGGAGTATCGAGACACATAGATGGACACATACCAAGTAAAGCTATATTAAATTTCAGATTTAGTTAGTTAAGGATAACAAATTAGTACAGAGGAGTGAAGGCAGAATACTTCAGTATATATACTCTTGGCCCCAGAGTCACAAGCTGGGAGATTGGAAAAGCTCAATTATTGCTACCCCCATACCCCTACTTTTTCTCAACATGTAAGTCACCAATGGGGGAAGAATTTAAACCATCAATCTAAGTGATGCTGTGTATGGGAATGTTACAGATATTGGGCTGTCTTGCTTATGACCCAAATTCAGCATCAGCAATACTTCATTCTCATCTTAGGGCACAAAGAAGAGTCAGATGCCATGTGTCCATGAACAATACACCTGCCTCCATCTTTTCAGCATCCTGAGATTCCCATTTACCATCAGTCTGCACCTGACCTCGATTTCATATCCTGTTCATTTTATTTCTCATATCACAGTTTGATCTCGGCTCTGAAATTCCAGAAACATATCCCTTATGTGACAAATTTTTTCCTTAAAATTTGATACCTTTTTATATATGCTTCTTTATGTTTATATGTGCTTCAAACAAGATAAACAAATACACAGTTCATATTTTAATCTGGGGAGGACAGAGGCATCATAGTATTGGAAAGAGTCATTTTTATTTATACATTTTCTGTGTTGCCACACATATTATTTACCAACAGTAAATTGTATTATTTTTGTCAGTTAAAAATATTTAGATGAAAGGAAATAACTAAAATAAAAACACACACAGAATAGTGTGAACATTTTATATATTTTTAAAATTTCAACTTTGATTTTAGGTTCAGGGGATACACGTGCAAGTTTGTTACATGGGTATATTGCATGACACTGAGCTTAGGGTATGAATGATCCCATCACCCAGGTAGGGAGCATAGAACCCAATAGGTAGTTTTAGATGATTTAATATTAAATGGAAACAATCTAAAATTGTATGTGATTAGATATATTTTTAAATGGTAAAGTTAGAATAGCAAGCTAGAAGAGCAAGCATTACAATTTTAATAATAGTTATTAGATGGTAAGGTTAAAGATACAAGTTTCATAAAAATGTTGGCATATTACCTGGTATGAGTGACTATTTCGATTTGTCATTTTTACTCATCTGTAAATATCGTTACGTGTGCTAAGTTTTTCTGATTTTTGTACTTTATGCTTTCTAGTGTATTGTGAAACGGAACTCCATAATTAGTATTGTAATGGAAGCAATGACAAACCTAACACTAATCAAATTGATCATGACATTAGAATACCATTCTGTGGAATTTCTGGTTTATTTCTGAGCGTCATAATTACTTTTGCCTCTGTTCTCTAACTAGGTCACCATGCTGTCAGTAATATTTTCAGTGTTACAACAACCCAGGTTTTATAATAATTGCCTCCATCTCCACTGCAGCTTTATAAAGAAAGTGATACCATTATCCCAATTATATTTTACAAGTAGGGTAAATGAAAATCAGGAAAGTTAAATAACTTTCATAAAGACACACAGCTCATAGAGTACAGAGTTTGAACCAAGGCCACCTGATTCCAAGTTCTATGATTTCAGTATTCTGTGGTTGCATCCATATTTATAAGTTAATTCATAGAAAATTGAAGTGGTTCTAAATTTGATTTCTGTCATATAATCATTATAAAGTTTATCATTCAAATTATTGTTTTCTAAAATGCTAATAATAAAAATGTTTTGTGAAGTATTGGGTTATTCGATGATTCAGGCTTGGAAATATATTTAGATATTCTAAATGAAATAATGGGAAGGAACTTCAGTGCTTCGTTTTTCTGAATATCATTAAAATTTTAAAAATAATTTTAAAATAATATCACAGTAGACTAATTTTGAGTTACTTTTTGTTGTACCTAAAATATGATAAATTTTAAAGTATTTAACATATTAAGAAATCTTCATAATATCCTTGTATTGTGTTTATTTTAAATAGTTTAGTTGAGCGAGAATACAGGTAAAATTTTACCTGGTTGAAATATTATTATTTGATTGACCCCTTTAAGCCTAAGCAATTGTGCACTTTAAATTTTCAGGATAACAGATATTTTGTTCTCTTCTGATGGTAACAAAGGTAATGAAAGTTTTTACCTCTGAAATCTGTCACACGGCAGAGCCCAATTTATCCATAAATTGTTTATACTTATGTAATCACAGTAAGACTGTCATCTAGCTGGTGCTTACCTCGAAAGTACCGTATATACTTTCACAAAGTGTGCCTAGAACTTACTATAAAATTGTTTTTTTGTTTTTTTTTTTTTATTGACCTGGTAAATTTAACAATAGTAGAGTTTTTATTGTTCACCACTGTTTCTACTCTGCATTTTTCCTGCCCCATCTGCTTTTCTTAAAAGAAACAACATCAAATTCTACAATTACTAGGATACTATCCCTGAAGTCTATTCATCCATCAGATATAAAACCACAATTATTTGAGCGTAAGTTTCTCTTTTGATTTTTTTCTTATTGACTGTAGATACACAGAATTAAATTCATAATAATTCTGGGTTTGTGAAACATGAACATCATTGTTCCATGCATGACCCATTTTACTATAATTATTTAATTACTAGATACCAAAGGCTAATTATGAATTCAGTAGGTATGCAATTCTAAAGTGAGACAACACCCAGAAATTGTGATTGGGTGAAATATACTGTCAGGCTTTTAGTCCGAAAGTCAGGCTGTGGCATCTGGTTAGTATCTTGCAATTAGGAGGAAATAAAAAGGTCTACCTAAGTACAAAGTATATTAATTTGCCATCAAGGATAAATTGTCAAGTCTCATTAAGCACATAGAGTTTTGTTTGCTCCTTGTTGTTGTGACACAGGAGATAAGCTCAAATGACTTTATAGCTAACAGAGGTTTATTTTTCCCTCCAAAGGCAGAGCACATGTTTGGCACAGAGAAGATCTCACCTTGTATCCATAGAGGTGAGCACTAGCCAATGGCCATGGACACTGTTGTCAATAATTACAAGCAGTTTATTTGAGTTTACATTTCATACAGTGATTATTAAGTCCTGAGGACAGTACATTGCACAATTAGCTGAAAGACAGTTGTAGCCTTTTGTTCTGGCAGGCCTCAAATACATTGCTAATCCTTTCTGAAGGAGGAAAATTAAGTATGTATTTAATGAGTTGATAGCTGGAGGTTGATAAATGACTGACATATCTCAGCATCTATGTCAAAGAATTGAAATAAACACTTGTTAACTTGATTCATTGGAGTCAATGTGTTCTTTTCACTATCATTGTAAAGGGAAATAATTAGAAAAGAATAAAAGAAGTTATGTTAGACACATGTAAAGGTCTCATAGTATTTCAAAAAGACTATTTTTAAGAGATTATTATCCCTCAGATTAGAATTATAATAAGATGTGATGTTCAAGTTCACATGCCTTGAAAGTAAATAAGATCCTCTAATTTATAAATAGGATAAACACTCATCCCCTCAAGTGCTTGAGACTGTCCTTAGTAAACAATGATTGAGTTAACCCAAAGGCTTATACTAAGATGCATCACACATAGGAATGCTGTGTAAGTGCTAAGTTAGATCTTAGTTGGTCTTGGACTTAGCCCTTTAGCTGGATGATCAATATCTCCAAACATTTTAGCCTTAGTTCCTTTCTGTATAAAAGAGCACCAACAATACAAGTTCCTTCAACTTCACGAGGTTATTATAAGAATCAAGAAGATAATAATGGTGAAGTATTTTGTACGATTTGAGTGCTATATAAATATAAAACATAATTTAAATTAAAAATCTTGAAAGGATCTGTAGTGTTACCTATATGCTGATTATTAAAAAAGGGGAACATCACACACCGGGTCCTATTGTGGGGAGAGCGGAGGGATAGCATTAGGAGATATACCTAATGTAAATGACAAGTTAATGGGTGTAGCACACCAACATGGCACATGTATACATATGTAACAAACCTGCACGTTGTGCACATGTACCCTAGAACTTAAAGTATAAAAAAAAAAAAACTTCTTAGTACTGCATGCCAAGTACTGCACAAATTATGTATATATATGTTTTTAAAAAGATGAATTTTTCCAAGCGTTTGTGATTGGGTTTTATCAAAAAGAAGTGTTACCCATGTTTACTTGGAGGAAATTGAGAATGCAATGTTGTTAAACATTTTGCCTTAGATTATGATCCTGGATAAGATACCTTATACCAGGCTGATGATGCATTATAAAAATTCTAATAAAAGCTCAAGAATCTTTTCAAATAAGGTAGATATATTTTTATAGAAATGAAGGATTAATTGTAACTAGATTTTTAGAATAGAATGAGTAATCATTAATATGTAAATGAACATAATGTCTATGTTTCTTGAATAAATAAATAAATTTGCATTTCCAAAAATATTTTCTGCTTATACTTTTGCTTGTGTACGTTAGAAAAAATATACAAAGCATGTTGATTACATATATATTATATCATAAAAGATATTTTGTTGGAGAAAGAGAAATTCCTAAAAGTAATATCTTTTATTGTGTACTACACTTATTGAAGTAAAGGAATATCTGCCTGGATGAACACATTCTTTGATGTATAGACCACTTGGGTTCATGCATTTGATTTAATTTGCTGGGTAACAATTTTTTCCCTTATTTTCAATGTGTCTTTATAGAAAAATGGGGTGCTTCAAAGAGAAGAATCTTCTGAGAATGAGAAAAATATTCCTTGATTGAATGCATTTATGATGCTCTGAACCCTTGTCGAATCCTCCAATATTGAAATTTTGAAATAAATTGTACTGCTATATGAGATCATAATTGCATGATGGAATTGCAGACTTTTGAGAACATTTTATCCTAGTCTTTGGTTTGTCTTCTCATTCTCTTGACAGTGTATTCTGCAGAGTAGGGGTTTTCAAATTTAATAAAATTCAGCTTATCAGTTATTTGTTTCCTGGATCATGCCATTGGTGCTGCATCTATAATGTCATCACCAAATCCAAGGCCATCTGCATTTCATCTTATGTTGTCTTCTAGGAGTTCTATAGTTTTCCACTTGACATTTAGGTCAAGGATCCATTCTGAGTTAATTTTTATAGAGGGTGTGAAGTCTTTCCCTAGATTCATTTTTTTGTATGTAGGTGTCCAATTGTTCCAGAACCATTTATTTAAAAGACTATTTTTTGGTCTAATGTTTTGCTTTTGCTACTTTTTCAAAGATCAGTTGACTCTGTTCATATGGGTGTGTTTCTGAGCTCTCTATGCTGTACCACTGATCTATTTCTCCGTTCTGTTGCCAATACCAGTCTTCATTACTGTAGCTTTATATTGATTCTCAAGGTTGGGTTGTGTCCCTTCCAACTTTGTTCTTCAATATTAGGTTGCCCATTCTGGGAACTTAACCTCTCCATGTAAAGTTCGGAATCATTTGGTTGATATCCACAAGTAATTTCCTGGAATTTGTATTGGAATTGCATTGAATCTATGGATAAAGTCGGGAAAAGCTGGTATCTTGGCGTTATCTATGAACATGGAATATTTATATATTTATTTAGATCATCTTGGATTTCTTTCATCAGAATTTTGTAGCTTTTCTCATATAAGTTGTATACATATTTTGTTCAATTTATACCTATGGTAAATTTACACTTGATCTTAGCCAAAAGGCCAAGAAGTGATCCCTATGGTAAATTTAAACGATACTGTATTTTTAATTTCAAATTCCATTTGTTCATTGCTGGCATATAAGCAATTGACTTTTGAATATTGACCTTACTATAATTGCTTATTAGTTCCAGGAGATATTTTTGGTCAATTCTTTCAGACTGAAGTTTTCTATTCTTGTAATGTCTTTGTCTAGTTTTGGTATTAGCAATTATTCTCAATTGGTGATTTACATGTTGAGAAAAAGTAGCAATAATTGAACTTTTCCAATCTCCCAGTTTGTGACTCTAAGGCCAAGAGGATAAGTACTGAAGTATTCTTCCTTCACTCCTCTGCACTGATTTGTTATCCTTAGGTAACTTAATCTGAAATTTAATATAGCTATGCTTAGTATGTGTCCATGTCTATCTGTGTGTCTCAATACTCCACAAAGTGTCCAAAACCTTGAAGTATCATATCACATACATTATGTACAACTTGCTTATGGCTCCCAAGCAATCTTCAGTAGCAATTTTTTACCATGCTCTGATTAAAAATAAATAAATAAATAACAGCTTCAGCCAGGCGCAGTGGCTTACACCTGTAATCCCAGCACTTTGGGAGGCTGAGGCAGGTGGATCACCTGAGGTCAGGATTTTGAGACCAGCCTGACCAACATGGAGAAACCCCATTTCCTACTAAAAATACAAAATTAGCTGCGTGTGATGGCACATGCCTGTAATCCCAGGTACTCTGGAGGCTGAAGCAGGAGAATCTCTTGAACCTGGGAGGTGGAGGTTTCGGTGAGCCAAGATCATGCCATTGCACTTCAGCCTGGGCAACAAGGGCAAAACTCTGTCTCAAAATAAACAAACCGTAATTGTATAAATTTATGGGAAATCTTGTGATGTTTTGATATATGTATGCAATGTGGAATGATTAACTGAAGCTAATTAATAGACCAATCACCTCACTCACCTATCATTTTTAAGCTGAAACATTTGAATTTTACTTATTTTGGAATATACAATTATTGATTATAGTCATCCTGCTGTACAATAGATCTCAAAACCTATTTCTCCTGTCTATCTGAAACTTTTTACCCTTTGATAAACAACTCTCCATTTCTTTGTTTTCCCTACCCCTTAAGCCTCTTGTAACCATCCTTCTACTCTACTTCCATGAATTTAACAACTTACTCTGCTTTCAGTCATCAATTTTCTTCTTTTAACATGGAAAATAACAAGCACTTGTGCTTATCAAAGATGTGCTTAAAGTTTAGTCTTCTAGTGAAACAGAATGTCAGACTCTCAAGCTAAATTGCTGGAGTTAAACTTAGGCATTTGCTTGAAATGTCTTCAATTTGCATTCATGCATAATAGGTATAGAATTAAGTGAATTAATAATGTTAAGTTATTATAACAATGCCTGGCACATAGTACATTTTCAATAAGTGTTAGAATTTTCTCATTTTTTATTTATACATAGTAGTTGTACATATTTATGGGGTACATGTGATATTTTGATACATGTATACAATGTTTAGTGATCAAGTCAGGGTATTTACGATATCCATCACCTGGAGCATATATAATTTGTGTTTGGAACATTTGAAATCCTTTCTACTAGCTATTTTGAAATTTACAATATGTTATTGTTTACAATAGTCACTCTACTGTGCTATCAATAATTAGAATTTCCTTCTGTCTAACTGTTTGCTTATACCCAGTGAACTACCTCTCTTCATCTCACCTCTCCCCATACTCACATATGCGCTTCCTAGTCCCGGGTAACTATCATTCTACTCTCTACCTCCATGAGATCAACTTTTTTAGCTCTCATATATGAGTGAGAACATCCAGTATTTGTCTTTCTAGGCCTGGTTTATTTCACTTAACATAATGACCTCTAGCTCCATCCATGCTTTGCAAATGCAAGATTTCATCCTTCCTTTGGCTGGATAGTATTTCATTGTGTACATACACCACTTTTCTTTATCCATTCATCTGTTGCTAGACACTTAGGTTGATTCCATAACTTTGCTATTGTGAATAGTGCTGCAGTAAACATGGGGATGCAGGTTCCCCTTTGATATACTGAATTCTTTTTCCTTCTATAAATATCTACTAGTGAGATTCCTGGATCATATGGTCATTCTATTTTTAATTTCTTGATCTCTGTACTATTTTTCATAGTGGATATAATGATTTGTATTCCCCTCAATGGTTTATAAGAGTTCCCTTTTCAACACATCTTCATCAGTATCTGGGTTGTTTCTTTTGTTTTTTTTTTTTTGTTGTTGTTGTTGTTGTTGTTGT